GGTCTACCTGTTCTATGGTAGCCTACAGTCTGAGGAGTCTACCTGTTTTGTGGTAGCCTACAGTTTGAGGAGGTCTACCTGTTCTGTGGTAACCTACAGTCTGAGGAGTCTACCTGTTCTGTGGTAGCCTACAGTTAGAGGATGTCTACCTGTTCTGTGGTAGCCTACAGTCCAAGGATGTCTACCTGTTCTGTGGTAGGCCTACAGCCTGAGGAGTCTACCTGTTCTGTGGTAGGCCTACAGCCTGAGGATGTCTACCTGTTCTGTGGTAGCCTACAGTTTGAGGAGTCTACCTGTTCTGTGGTAACCTACAGTCTGAGGAGTCTACCTGTTCTGTGGTAGCCTACAGTTCGAGGATGTCTACCTGTTCTGTGGTAACCTACAGTCCGAGGATGTCTACCTGTTCTGTGGTAGGCCTACAGTCTAAAGATGTCTACCTGTTCTGTGGTAGCCTACAATTTGAAGAGTCTACCTGTTCTGTGGTAGGCCTACAGTCTGAGGAGTCTACCTGTTCTGTGGTAGGTCTACAGTCTGAGGATGTCTACCTGTTCTATGGTAACCTACAGTTTGAGTAGTCTACCTGTTCTGTGGTAGCCTACAGTCTGAGGAGTCTACCTGTTCTGTGGTAGGCCTACAGTCCAAGGATGTCTACCTGCTCACTGTCTTGTGCTCTTTCTTGATTTTAAAAGAGAATGACAGGCTTAGGAGAAGTAATAAACATTGTTTTAATTAAGTGATTATTTGAATTAGTTTTAAGGTTTATAAAACACTAAAATCTTTTCTTGTCCCTCGTGCAGTCTTGTAAGGCCTTATGACAACTCAGGCCACCTGTACCTGGGGTGGACAAGTGAAGAACACCAAGCCTCAAGGGCACCAAAGTACACTTTCTGTCAACTCCAACGTAAGGAGACTCTGATGTTAACTTCCCGGAATGCTGGCCCAGCCCTCCTACGATGCCAGACAGCATTCATGAGCCACTGGAGAGTCCTGACAAGACACAGCTCCTTTCTTTTCTTTTTTTTTAAAGATTAATTTTTTTTATTATGAACACAACATTCCTTCCATGTATGCTTGCATGCCAGAAGAGGGTACCAGATCTCATTATAGATGGCTGTGAGTCACCATGTGGTTGCTGGGAATTGAACTCAGGACCTCTGGAAGAGCAGTCAGTGTTCTTAACCTCTGAGCCATCTCTCCAGCGCCCACATCCCCTTTCTCGTTAGACACCTGGCTCACCAGATGCCCTGGCTCTCCTGGTATTCTTTCTTTGGACAAAATTCAGGTATCAAAATTATCAGATATTACTTACACCTTTGTTAAATTAAAGGTTCTGAATTGAAGCCTAGTTAGTAAGTAACAATTTATTTTCCATTAAAAAATCCTTAATCTTGAGAAAGCTTTGAATTTCACTAAAATCATCTCCTTCCAAAGAAACCTGCCATGGAAAAGGATCCCTCAGGCTCAGGATGACTGGCTCACAGTTAGGACATGATGGAGTTGTTACCCTAGACACACTGTGGCCTAACAGTGGGATCCAGAGCTCACACCCTCTGCAACTGCAACAAGCAACTGTCCCCAGGGTCCCCCTTTCTGTGATTTCCACTCTTCTAGGCATGCCATCTATGTTCCAGATCCCTACTTAACCTCTGGCACATGACCTCATATTTCCTATCAGAGTAAGAAGGGTTTCACTTTGAACTTTCGATCATTAAGTTACTGCACTAAACACAAACACATGCACATCCGCTATCAGGGACACTGCTGATCACACAGACTCATGGAGTACTCTCACACTTGGAGTACAGGGCTCTGACCAGGGCTGGAGGGACCAGTCTTTGAAGGTTTATTTTCACACTTGGAGATGAAGACATGGCTTCTGTCAGGTTTGGGGCTACACTATATTCATCTCAGCTCCATTAAATACCCCTGCATTATTTGTGAGCTCACCTAAGAACCAGTCTCTCCATCCAGCAGAAGCCCCCAGCATAGCTCTCCAGGAACTGGAGTGTCCTCTACACCTTCTGAAGTCAGATCCCGGCTCTATGCTCAGTCCCCAACTTGACCACAGGGAAAATTAGAAGCCCACACCAAGCTGCACGTGGGTGAGTAGTCGTTAAAGTCTGAGTACCCAGAAAGAAAATAACTTGAGCATCCCAGGTGTAACTTGGAACAGTGACGGAGAAGTCCTCCAACAGCAGCAGCACACCCGAGTGCCTGTTTTCCTCACAAGGTTTCTACGTGTATAATTCTGGCCTCTTAGGCTATGGTAGAGTCTTTGGCTGAGCTACATGGACTCAGTAGGGTATGAAAATAGCTTAGAGAAGAAGTTTCTTTAGCTACAAACCACTGCTTGTTGAAGAAGCCTTCTGTGATCAAGTATCTACATGTGTGGAGGCATCTCACAAGAGCAGGCTTCGGTGATTGGTGTTCTGACAGCAGGAAGTCTAAGCTGCTGCAGATGGAACGCAGGCCTCTCACTTCTCAGCTCCTGAACCCTTTCTCGGGCTGACTTGCTGCTGTGCTGGTTTGCATTCTGTTTTGGTTTCCCTGGATGAACTGCCCCATCCCCAGACACAGCAAGGAGCTGTCTAGAGCCTGATGTAACTGATGCAGAAAATACAGCACACGGAAGACACTCAGTATAAATGTACAGAATGTGACCGCGTGTTTTTCACTACAGCATCTAAACAGGTAGACTGCTGCTAGTCATGTGCTGGTTTACGAACTGTTGTGACAGCAGCCCACAGGACAGAGCCTAGAAAAGTGCCGCTGACTAGATGAGTGTCACGTGGACCTCACAGAGGGCAGGCGTGTGCTGCGCATGCAGAGACAGCATCTCCGTGACAATGACAAGGCAAACGTAACTCCTGGGACAGGAGGAGCAAGCCCAGAGGAGCTTATGGCCAAGGCTGGGGCATTAACAAAAGATAAAGGTTCTAATGCCCCACAGTAGAGAAACAGGATAACTTGGTATTAAATGTAAATCAGCAATCTGCCATGGGAGAAGAAAGTCTGTTACTAATATTTTCACTATCATGACAGGAAACCTGCAGCAAGCAACTTAAGGGAATAAGGATTTACTTCGACTCAGTTTAGCTCCCTCGTGGAGGGGAAGACATGGAGGCTTCATGGTAGCTCATGTGTGAGGCAGCCTGCTAACATCTCAGTGGATTGGGAACTCTATCTAGGGTAAAATGCAGCTGGTATATAATCCTTAAACCCTACTCTGACTGCCCCACAGCTGATTGCTAGGCCTCATGTCAGAGGCTACATAATCTCTCAGAACCAAGTGTTCAGACACACGGGCCTGTAGGGACCACACTTCACATTCACACTACAGAAATGTCTGTAAAGCCCCCTGCTGAAAGACGGGCTAGAGGCTGCAATCCACGCCTGCATAGAAAACGGAATGTGTCCCAGCCCTTGCAGGCACGGAGGCCCCTAGAAATGGTAACGACTCCAGTTCTGCTTGGAGGGGCTCAGCTCTGCCCACTGAGTGGCAGGGCTTCTGAAGTCAGGCTCTACAGTTCAGAGTGACTAATATGGTCAGACAGTACAAGTTCAACTGACTTCAAGTTATTTCTGTACATAGAAATGAAAATTCTTTCAAAATTTAGAAACTTCTATTATTCAGAAAGTCATTCACAATAAAACATTTTGGAAAAATAAGACCACTTAAAATAAGGGACATTTTAGGTTTTTGTATCATGTATCTAAGAACAGTCAACAACTTTAAATTTTTTACTTTTTTTGTTGTTTGTTTGTTTGTTTTTTGTTTTTTGAGACAGGGTTTCTCTGTGTAACAGCTCACCTTGTAGACCAGGCTGGACTCAAACTTATAGAGACCCACACCGCCTGCCTCTGCCTCTGAGTGCTGGGATTAAAGGCATGCACCACCACACCCAGCTTCAACCTAAGATTTTTTAAAGAATTACTATTTAAAATTTTGATCACATTTAGTATAAAACATTCTGAGTCAGATAAAGTTACTGGAATGAAAATACCAATTCTTCTATTAAGAAGTATCTTTTTTCCTTAAACTTTAAAAAAAGTTTCTATTACATTTAGTGTGTGTGCTGTAGGAATT